TAACAGATAAGGTTCCCTCTCTATTTGCAGTGTTACCTAAATAATCTATTACTGTAGGGAATAACTACAGTATTACAAATACTAAGTTAAAGTTATTTTGTTAACTAAAGCCATTGGCAAATATTTAAGAATGGCCAAAGCATATGAATTGACAATAAAGAACAGATACAAGATAGCAAATTTCTTACTTCTAGCATCTAGTGGGATAAAGTAAACACCTTACAATTTTTTTTAACTTTTTTTTTTTTTAATTTTGGCTTAATTTTACTTAGCTAGAAGCAAGCCTTCATGGTGCACCTGGTAAATGCTTAGGATAGAATATGCTAATGCAGCCAATTCCCTGTCAAAAATGACTGGAACATTTTATGGAAAGCTTGGTTCTAGGAATAACATAACTTGGGAAAACTACAAAGAGTATTTGCAATACTTTGCTGTATTGCAGTCCTGTAATTCATGGAAGAAATTTAAGAGTCTATGAATCTGTGTTTTGCAATTACCACAGATACATTGTGGAACCCTGGAGATGTGTAATTCATATTAACATGTAGCAAGTAATATTCAGGATTAAAGCATAAAATCTACAGTAGTCTCTTCTGTGAACTGATGTGCACTCTATCTCTGTGTGAGAAAATGGCTAAGTTGCAAACTTGCGGTCTAATCAATTAGAGATAGCAGAGACCCCAGCCCCAGGTGGATCAGGTACCCAGGGAATTCAGGTGGATTTCTTAGCTACAAGCTAGCTCCTTGGCTGTGGGTCTGTGTCACAGCACGTGCCGCAGTTGAGACAACTGCAATACACAGAGCATCACCATACAATTGCAGAAGGCTTTAGGTATTCACCCCTACAGAGTAACGCCTTTACCATACCAGAAGGCTTCAAGCATCTGCCCTTCTTGTTCTTCAGCCCAACCTTTTATACCCTCATGTTCATGCATTGCCCCTGTGTGCCCTCTGCTCCCTTTGTGGTTGGTCAGTGCCCCTGGGCACTCCATGGCTCATTGCTGTCAGTGCTGCTCACCTGCTGCTCACAGCTGTGCCCATGGGGATGAGGCTCGGCACCACAGGTCTGCTCTAGCTGAAGGGAATAGCACTATAACTGCAAACACCTCAAAGACACTTCCTTCTACTGATCAGTCCCATGTATGTTTTGCTCTGTTTCACCCAAACTGTTAATACAGAAGCTATTTTTGTGGAGGTCCTAGACTGTTTGATGGCATGGTGAATGTGGGGAATGATAGGTGGTGCTGAATGTCCTGTGCATGTCACTCACATAAGGCTGTGCTATCTGAGCAATTTGCCCAGGGGCTGCATAAAGTGAACAGAAGACATTTGATTACTGTTCTACTCCCTAAATGAAGAGTTTGTAATAGAAGCATGGTTTCCAATTATGTCTTATTTGAGAGCATATCTTGGTAGTCCTTCATCTTCAAGGAAGGCTCAGATTATTAACTCCTCAGTCCCTGTCCCAGGCTAATCACAGGGAAATGGTACAGGTACTTCAGTGGTCCTGGACAGTAAAAATTAAGGTGAAAAGAATATGTTTTCTGTTTGGCATCACCAGAAAACCATCTGGATTTAGTTTTGTCCTAAATTCTGGTTGTGCTGCATCTAACTTAGCTCTTTCAACAGTGATGAGTCTCTTAACATTAATGAAGCTCAGAGCATTTTCCAAAGGTAGCATTGTGATTGCTCTTATTTGAAGATGAGAAGACTAAGACCCAAGGAGGAAAAATGTGTTTGCTAGTGGCCTTTAATTGATATTTGTTGAAACATAGAAATTCTAAGATAGTAGTCAATTCAAGTTTTCACTGTAGCTAATGAACCTATGTTTGAATCGTGTAGTGTCCAGGCTCTTAGGACCCTGGTACAGGTTCCAGATTTCTCTAGATCATTTCAGGACTGAAGGCTGAATCTCAAGGTTTCACTGTTGTTCCATAATCACATGTGATTGAGTCTGGACAGTATGGACATGCATGATCAGCATGAATCTGTTCACATAGTCTGCTGTGAAGTCCTGAAGTTGTATGCCCAACCACCACAGAGAAGAAAATCAATGGTGGCCTCTGTTCAACAAGTGGTTGAGGTTGCTTGAGTTCTAGACTAAGAATGCATGGGTACATCACACAAGAGAGTGGCACTGTGACGGACTGTGACAGTGCAAAGAACATACTCTGCATTATGTGCAACAAGCATTCCTGTTGTAACATAGTCCATGCCTGCGTGCCAGAGTCTGCCTTTGGCTGCTGCCTTCGGATAAATTAGTGAGAGATGGTTTGTTGTACTGGGAAGAAAACACAGTCCTCTTACCTTGTGTAAATGCAGGCAAAGGAAGAATAGTAAAATATTTGTCTATGGTAGGGCCATGTCATCTAGTTACCAGTCTACCAGCTGTCAGGCTCCTGACTCACAGGTATTGCAAACTTGACTGTTTAATATCTTCCACTTCACAGCAAAATTTCAAAGTCCTTTTAGGGCTTATGGGCTTTTTTTGATACCATCTTATTGCAGTGTTTCCTAAGAGCACCTTTGAGGTAGTATTTTCAAGGTGTCGATGCTGCCTGGCCCTTGAGTGCACTCAGTGGCATGAGGGGACGCTCTTCAAAGCCACCCTGAGTGCAGGCTGAGGTCTGAGAGGTCTCCAGGACCTGTGAGAAACATTTGTGGTGAAAACCAAGGTCAGAGCTACATGCCTTTGGGAACACTGGACATGTTTATCACTGGGGTGGAGGCAGAGGGAGGGAACGGGTAGGGAATGTTTGGTTTTTTGCTGAGTTTTTTTTTTTTTGTTCCTTTAGGTGGAAGGTTTTGCTATGTTGTTCAGTTATTGCTTCAGGTGGAAAATAATTTCCCACCTAGCAGCAAAAGTATGCCTGGCAAGGTGAGAAGTATTTTAGGAGCAGCACTTCATAGAGTTGATTTTCAGCCAAAGTCAAGTCCCTCTGGGAGCAGTTACAACTGGTGATATTTTTTTGCAGAGTTGAAGCTACTCTGACTTTGGTGACTGAGGAAGCCTCCTGCTCTCTACAGGAGCTGTACAAGTGATATCAACCCATGTCACTTTTTCTTCTGCCTAGACAGTTAAGGCAGGTCCCTGAACTCTCAGACCCAAGCTGGAGCAGGAAAGAGGCCGTGTTGCCATAGTAAAGCAAAAGGCTCACTAACAAGAGTATGTGAATTAATGAAATCCAGGAACTATTTAAATACTTCTGTGACCCATTCTTCAGGCCTAGAACTCCCATTTATTTTTTCATTGTAGCATGAAGAAATAATGAAGGTGAATGAAGGAATTTCAAATTAGTACATTTCAGAAGGTATGAAATAAAAGTATTTTACCAAAACACATATTGATGGAAGTCTGGAAATTACATGCTTTTGAAAAAAAAATGTTAAAAGATCTGTCAATCACAGTGCCTTTTTCTGGAGGAATCACACTGGTTACAAAGTGTATACATCAGAATCTATTGGTCACTCAGGTGCAATCATTATGAGTTAAGACATGTAGTATTATATTGCAATTGTAGTAGTATGTATGTGTGTTTCATGGCCAGGCTTTGAAAAGGAGCCCAGTTGTAGCCACAGAGAGCCAGTATTTTAGGATCTAAATAAATTATTTTAATTTTCATATATTCTGGGAAAAAACTCTGAGCTGGTGTGAACAACCTAGAATATTTAGTCTATCCTCCATTTTTATTTTTGTTTTGTTTTGTTTTTTTAATCAGGGACCCATATATTCACTGAACAGTTTAGCTTCACATCTGTCTTTTTTTTCTTTTAATCTTGTGCCAGGTGTTTAAGAAGCGGGAAGCAGTGGTATTTCAGTAACCTGCTTTCGACATTATTTGCATACCTTTGTGTTTTTCCATGGTGATCAATGCTCAGCTGTAGTGGAACTTCTGTCAATAAATTTTATGTGCAACTGCTGGAGTAATTTTTTTAATTAGTCCATTCTAGGAATTCTAATGTCCCTTTATAAATATTTATATTTTCAATATGTCTTCATTTAATTGAGAAGATTTTTCACATTGTTTTCAGATAAGCACAGGTAGTATGCATGATGATATGTCAACACTCTGACCTTTTAGCTTCTCTATTTCTCTTAGTGCATCCACATTTTGTTTGTCCGTGTGTATTATGCTTTAGTTTATTTATGGTTTTCCTTCATGGGCTGTTGGAACAGTCAGTGTTTTCCATGCAAACACCTTAATAAACTGCAGAGAAAGAAAATATGCTATTGCATACTAGCAGGTATCATGTAGACTGTCTTGAATACTTTAATCAGTGTGTACAGCTACTAGAAATCCACACTGAAATAATGTTTGATTTGTCCAGAACTTTCTGGCACACAAATACAAAGCATTTAGTACTATATTCTGGTTTGTACATTGAAAGAGTGTTGGTTTTGTACTCTTTGATTTGGAATCTCTAGGAACTTACCTCAAAATCCTGGATAAAACTGAATGGAGACCTTTAGAATTGATTAGCATGTGCAAATCATATTACTAAGTAATCCTGCTGATTTACTGATTTTAATTTTTGAACTGTAGTGGTTTTATTCCTTTAATTTTATTGAAAAGTCTTCTTTTGCAAATAAATCCCCTATAGCTGGTGGCTCTGCTTGCTAAAAGAGAGTCCTCTGTACCACAAGTTATTAACGCATCAGTAACTTATACTGATTAATTCAACTTCATGTAAATCACAATAAAAACTTTTTCCTACAGCTCAGAGGTGATCAACAAGATGCTACAGCTGAAAAATACTTCCTCTTGAGGTTTTGCTGAATTTTTTTTTACTTTTTCAAATTTTGATTGTTGTTACATACTTCTAGAAGAGCATTGCAGGAAAGGTTTGTTCTTTTTGTTCTCTGTAACTTCTGAAGTATAACTTGTTTTGCTACTAATGCATGTGATTCCACATATATGACAATATTGAAAGTATTCATTAATTCTTGCAGCTCAGCCTTAAACTGAAATTTAATAGCATGTATGATTTGGTTTTCCCAGGTTATACAAGTCTTTGTCTGAAGGATTGAGTCTGAAGAACCAGCCTAACTGTGCTTTCAGTACTTCTGAAGGTGGACTGGAGGGAAGGGAGGATGTTGTGACCCTAACCTATGGCCAGATTGAAGAGCTGGCAGCTCAGCTGCAGCAAACTCGGTCAGAGCAAAAGGACACTGAGCTGAAGCTCCAGAAAGCCCTGGAAGCTTCGCAGGAGGCCAATGAAAAAGTTCAAAAGTAAGTCACTTGCCTTCCAACAAAAATTGCAGTTGTAATCCATAAGAAACATTTTTTTTCTGGTATTTTGTCTATAACTGAAAGTGTGGCAGTACTCAGAAAATGTCCTTTAAAATGATTCTTCCTTTGTCAGCTCATTTCCTACTCAGTGTGAAGCTGATCATTTTAACAGTTTTGTGCTATTAGTCAAGTCAGGGTACCTCTCATTACTGTTAAGGAAATTGCTTCCTACATGTGCAAGGCACAGAGAAAGTCTTTCCATCTCTTATGAATGGTTTTCACTGTTCTTTTACCCTGTGGCAATCCTATGGCTACAGAGTATTTCCCTTTATAATTGCATGGTAGAATATTACAGTTCTCATTTTTGGTCTGTTACACATCTGGCAAGTTTCATGCCGCAGTAAATGTTTATGGGGTTGTTTAGGGATGGCTTCAAAATCTCACTGAGAATCACAGGAAATCTCTGAGTAAGTGAACAGAAGAGATTGTATTCTCTTTCCCATCATGAGTTTCCCTGTTGAAAGGTTACTGAACTCCAAAACCTGACGTTCATCTCTAGTGAAGTACTTATTGTCGTGTTTGTTATTAGTAGTGTCTCATCACCGCATTACATTCATCAACTGCAGAGTTCTCCTCTCTCACCCTTCCGAGGTGGCTGATGCTGAGCTGATGCAAATTGTCTGTCTGTCCATATATGTCTTCAATTTTAATGTCTACAGCATATTTACAGAGTAGCCAGAAATTGGCTTATAATGTATTGCAAGGACCTAACAAAAGCTTTTCTTTTTTAATAAAACCACAAGCTGAATTCTTCTATTTTAAAATAGTTGTATTCCTATATTTTAATTTATTCATAACTACATAAAATATAATTAAGGTATTTATAGATGAAAATGCGTCTTTTTAGTCATCTCTTTAAACCCTCCAGTGATTTTATAATCACTCAAGTCTTTATTCTGAGTGCTTAGACACATTTGAAACTTTGAGAGGTATGCGCTTGATAAAAATAAACCTATTAAAAAATTGAGTTCTGGTAAAGAGAATATTGGTGGAACCTTTTTAACTGTGTTAAGCTGTTACATCTAGTTTTATTTATAAATGTTTAATAATATAGCTATTTAAGCAGAGGTTGAGTTTTTGTTGTTTTTTTCTTTCCAAAGTGAAACAATCTTGTTTAATCCCGTGTACATAGTGTGGCTAAAGTAGAAGTGCGGCCACAAAGTGAATTAAAGTAGTGGTGATGCACCGCTATAGTGAAAAGAATTTACGTAATTTAACATGCTCAACTACTTGGGAAAATTTTGGTCAGGTTAGTTTTCATTATTGTTAAGATCAGACGACTGAGCCTATAGCAAAATCAAACAATTGGTTGAAGTCTTTTGATGACAATAGCATGCCCTTTTTACCACGAAACTGTGGAAATGCTCTGCCCGTCTTCCCAGCACCCGGAGTCATCCACCCCCATCTTATAATTCAACCTGCAAACAGATTAAGCAGCTGAGTTTGTGGAAAGTGTGTTTACTTTGAGCTAAGAACCCTTGTGTGACACTATAGAGATTCCTCTGACACCTCTGGGAGAGCTACACAGACAGTTCGTACTCATCAGCAGGGAAACCGGGCTGAGAATTCCCAATTTCTTTGTAACCTCAACTGCTTCATACAAATCAGTGTTTGGCAATTAGGCAGGAACTCATTTGTTAGCTTAGCATTTTATTTAGAAGATGTAGGATGTTCTACATTTCAAAAAAGAACTGACAATTTATAAACCTGTCAACAGAAAGGCTTTTTGGTATTAATTACAGTAGTATTAATTATTAGCACTGCCTTAAGAGGATGCTTAGTGTAGTTTAAAATGTGTCACTAAAATTCATAGACTAAAGACTGTTATAAAATAATCTATTTTCTTGACTTCTTTAAATGCTCAACTAAAATTGAATTCTGACATATGAAGGAAGTCGTTTTGTCAGCTGTATGAAGTAGTTTCTCAATATTATTCAGTAAAATAGCAACACTTAAAAATCAGAAGAGTGAAATATTTATGACCTTCATTAAGAAAGAACATCATTGTAAATAAGAATGTTAAGAAAATATGTACTTTGTATCTTCATACAATGTAGTTTACTAGTTTTACACTGCCTTGGCTAATCTGTCCTCTGGCAACACTAAAGAATTTTTTAATATTCTTAAAAGCTTCAGTGTTTGCATTCAGCATGATATGCAGAGCTTAAAAGAGAGTTGTAACTTTCCACAGCATTTCCATCATGTCAGCCATTTGTGTACCCACCGGTAGTTGTTGCTTTCTTGACGTGAGACCCAAGTCAGAATAGTGGTCCTGTGCTTTCCATCAGAACAAAAAGCATCTAAAAATTTCTTGATCCTATCCTACATGAAACAGCAGCTGTGAACCAGAAGGGGGATGTTTTGGTATCTACTTATAGTCAACTTGGACGCAGTAAACATCTGTTCATACTGAAGTAGGGTGAACATCTCATGTTGGCTAGCTGCAGTGTGAGATGTAAATTGAGACTGTCTGCTCCTGCCTGGGAAGATGATTCACCATCCTAACAGGGGTGCTGGTGTAAAACAAGAAACATTGATGCTCAGAGGGTGGCCACATAGCATTTGCATTTGCTTGAATCTCTTTTGATTTTGAGACACTATCAAGATGGACGTATACTTTTAAGAGAGCACTAATCTTTATAAAGCAAGTACACGTTTTAACTGTGGTCTATGTAAATAAGTACATGTATGTACACTCAAAACAATACATATTTATTCAATAGACTGTTATGATCTCCACAGTAATATTTTTAATCAATACTCTGGAATGGCTATGACTATAATTTTCTAGATTTAATTAATGTTTCTATTTTGTTTACAAAGAATTAGGACAGGAGCACAGAATTCACCAGGAGTGTTGTTATAGTAGCACAGGCCCCCTGCAAGTTTGTCCTGCCTGAGAAGCCAGAAACCAGCTGGTGCAGTCCCAGCAGGGAAATGGGGCTGACCTGGAGAAGGTGGCTGGGAGAGCCTGTGAATTAATTAATACCTCTGCCAACAGAGGAAGCGAGGCATTTTAAAAATGTCCTTCCGGCTGGAACCTCTGGGATTGTGGAGTGGCTGCTCATGTCAGTGAGATCAGAGCAGGTTATAATGTAATACCAAATCAATATTAGCCAATTATCAGTAAAGGTTGAGGCCACTTTTGATGTTTTTCCAGAAAATGTTCTATTTTTCTGCCACAGCTTTGCAGCTGGAGTGAATTTTAATGCAATTTGTCTGTTGGGGCTTCTGGGGGCTTCTATTTTTTTCTCATAATTTAATGATTCTAGCTCAGTAAAGCGCAGCTCTGCATGTAAGCACAGCTACACTTGCATAGTCGTGTAGCTGTGTGAAGTGGCAGAGGAGGGTGAGTGGGTAGAATTTCTATGTAATCCTCTAAAAATAAACACAAATCCACAAAGTAACAGTGAGTACTAAAATATACAGGTATGAAAATAAGCATAAATGGTGAGAAGGATCCTGCCTGCTTGTGTACGTTGTCAAGGTAGCTCTGACTATGAATAAAGCTAATATAAAAGTGACGTAAACCAGAAGTCATTGCTTCATTTGTCCTTAACTGTTTATTAGAGACCTTTTCAATTTTCTTTTTCTTCCTTTTAAAGAGGAAGTCAGGAGAATTACAGCTTTGAATAAAAGTTTTCAGTTGATTGAATACATAAGAAAACTAAGTGGTCTTCTGAATTAAATTCTATCCTTAATAACATTCGCTTTACCCCTTAAGGTCTGATTTTTTTTTGACCACCTAAATTTCATTGTGACTGGAACACATCCTTTATTTGTTTAGTCCTGAATTTCCCTCCAGCCTTTTTGAAAATTCTTTCTCTGCTTTTGTACTTGTTCGTTTCTTTTCTTAGCTGATGCTGATGTATAGGTTCATCTATGAAACAACAAAAACAAAAAGTTATTACCAACAGTTGACACGGATGAAAACAATACAAAAAATGTAAAGAAATAAGAAGCAAGCATTTATTAAGTAGTTAGTGAACCCCTCTTCTGAAAGTAAAACTAATCTGCCTTCTGAGTGCGGGAGCTGTGTGTATTTCACATCAATGTCCAGCACTTCTTCAGTGCTGGCTGGAGGGTCTAATCTTTCCCAGAATGATCAGAGCAGTGCAGTTGAAGAACAAGGATGAATATTTGAATAATCACACCACAATGTGAGGTGACCCTCCAACAGGGGACTGACCAGATACACATATGGATTTTGGGAAGAAGCTCTGATGCTCTTTTTTAACACAGCTGTGAGAAGAATGTGGCTAAGACCCAGTAGTCTTTCTGGAGTATAGCTGGCAAAGGAAACCATGAGGAGAAGAGAATTTAACACATGGGTGTAAGGGAGTTCACTTCATTGATGCGATCTGAGGGGAATGTCTAATGACTGGAAGAATCAAACTTGGCAATGAAAACACAAAGCTCTTTTCATCAATTCAAATGCTGACTCTAAAGCTGCAGATGGTTACCTCCAGCCTTGCCTATTCAGTGTGGGGTTGTATAAAATGGCACTTTGGTGAATACTAATAGATCAAAACAAAGATTTAATAACATAAAGATGTGGTGTTCATTTTTAAATGAGGATACAGGTCAGTGTCTCAGAAAAGAGTGAAATAAGTATCCTTATGTATGGGTCTAAAGTCTCTGGAGATTTTTAACTGCAAACATATCTTTAGTGTACAGATTGTATTCAGTATGGGGCAGCTATGCAGGGAACAGGCTAAAAGCAAGATTTCAGAATTATTATACTAATTGAGCCTCTTTGCAACATGCAAATGTTGTTAACTAGTTATCTCCTTTTAAAATCATACCTACATATATTTAGCTGAAGTATACATTGTAGCTTGTGTGTGTTGAGCTACTTGTTGTAGGAAAGAATGGAGCTAGTTAATTAGAAATTGCAGGCAGAAGCACTTCACAAAAGAAACAAGTTGTACATTCACTGG